CTGAAAATTTAATAGCCTGTATATATACTTTTTGAGATATGTAATAAGGGGATGTTTATATGGGGGAGAGGCTGGATGCCCGGGGTTTAATAAGGGGCTACAGACTTAAGGTCACTATTCCTGAGGGAAGATCTTGGGCAAAAGGGGCGGGATCTCGCTTAGCTATAGCTGGGCCCGCTCTTTACCCATGTATATACAATTTGAACTTTTAAGTAAGAAATAACAACAAAGGCAGGATCTTGCCAAAACTGGGCCAGCTTGGGTACTCTGGGGTTGGCTTGCAGTTGCACCATATAAACAGCCCCTATATATACAGTAGGCAGTATATATTTTTGTCTGGTAATTGGAGTCTTTGGAGATTTTGTGTGTAAATGAATATAAAAATGACCCTTTACGGGTGGGTTGAGGGGGGTGTTTCTGTCAACATTTTGGAAAGCAATAATATTTTATTAAAAAATTAGAATAATCACATATTAAACTCTGATAGTAGTATGTATTGTGTGTGATTAAAGTAAGGTTATTTTTTTACCCCACCTCTGCATGCAAGGATTTTTTGGCCACCCCACCTAAAGCAAGTATTATTTTTCAGTTACCCCACCATTTTCTCTTCGGCCCCCACCCCTGCCATAAATAATGACTGGTCCCTAATCTATTATTTCTATGATTATACTTAGAAATAATATCTATTATTTCTATGATTATACTGCACTATAGTATCTAGAAAACGCCTGTTTCTTCACTTTACATTACATGAAGACGAAATTTATTGGACACATTGACAATGCTCTCCTGAACATTGCAATGTGCTACTTCACAGGAGGCCCAGGCTCGATTTGCCCGCGCCCGCCTGTGCCTTCCTTATAACGAGGGAAGGGCGGAGACATTGAGACTAAAATAGCCCAGACTTGGCATATGTCACACGAAACTATCCTCGATTTTTCGCTTTTAATGCATTTCCTTCACGATTAATCGATATCCCCTGCAAGAATGATACCGTATAACTCTCAAAACAACGATGCTTTAATCAAAGGGCTTAAATTCGCTCTGAAATCCGTGAGGGAATAACAAAATTCGGCCAAAATATATCCGCGTGCCCGGTTTGCTGTGCAAAAAGCGGAAGTCGTTGAACAACTCAAAAACACTCAACCCTGATTGGACAACGAATTTCAACAAACATTTCAAAATTTTTTAACAGTACTGTTATAATTTCAATCATACAATCAAAACTATTCACAAACGTTATAAAGTGTAAATATTACTGCAAGTATATAAAACTGTAGTACGTTAATATGTATAATAAATTGTATTTCACATTGTGTTTGTTAAAAAAATTTGAAATGTTTGTTGA